GCGATAAAGAAGCATTCAGTTTACTGCGTCAGTTAGATGTTAAATTTCATATAGCCTATTGGGAAGCCTTTTTGTGATTGCTCAAAATGCCAAGAGTGCGTAGAATTCGTCAGGTGTCCCAGCTAAGTGACTTTGAGAGCGGTCGAATTGTCAGGTTGCGTGAAGCCAGTCTATGGATAAGAGAAGTTTCTAGGAGGACCAACAGATCCTTACGCAGTATTTATTTATTTATTTATTTCCAACAGGTGAAACCCAATTACAGGAAATGCTGAAAAAATAACAATTAAAGGGACATGGTTCTTGGACTTAAATCTATAGTATCACACATTGTAAATAAGATTGGATGATCTACAGGGCGTCCCAGAAGTCGACGTCAAGCCGAAACCGGGTGATAGGCAAAGTTATGACAGCTATCAGAAAAATATTTAAAAAAATTTTATGTGTGTGTTTTGAAAATTATAGGTCTTTGAAAAAAGTATAGAAATTTCACACCCTACGGCAGTCTGTCAACTCCTGTTACTACAAATATTAACTTTTTTTGGATTTTATGTCTACAATGTAATGATGAATAATGCATCTTCAAACTGCTGTCTCAACCTTATTGCCAACTTTTCTCGTTCAGGGAAAATTTCCACTTATTTCCCATCCAAGTATTCCAAAGTAAAACTTTGCTCAACTTTAACTGGCTGAACAGGAAAAAATGTACTACGAGAGTTTGGCAAGTAACCTTAAAAGTTGGCGCATTTAATAAAGATTCCAAAATGGTATAACACAATGGTATAACACTTTCCTAATTAAACAGCGATTATGAAAACGCACAAGGACCCTTAAGGATGACTGTTTGCACAACAGTGGGCGTCAAAATGCTGCTGATGATGATTTACCTTTACAGCAAATGCTCAAACTGTTTTCCTTCAGCCGCAATACACGCTCGACATCTTCTTAAAAAAGATCGGGTTATTAAACGAGCGAATCCACGGTTATTAACAAACTCAGCTGCTTCCAATAGTCTTTGCCGTAGCTCAGCTACATTTTGAGTAGGCTTGAAATACACTTTTTCTTTTACAGTTCCCCAGAAAAAAAATCTAAAGGATTCAAATCAGGTGATCGGGCTGGCCACGGTATTGTACCAGACCGCCCTATCCATCTGCCTGGAAAGTTTTGATCGAGATACTCTCTCACTGAGAGTGCGTAGTGCGCTGGGCAGCCATCATGCTGAAACCACATGTCCCTGTAAATACTCAGTGGCAAGTCCACCAATAAATTTTCTAAATGATTTTGCAAAAGACCTAAATAAACCTCAGTAGTCAAAGTCTCTGGGAACTCAAACGGACCTATTATTTTACCATTCAAAATTCCTGTCCAATGGTTTATCTTGAAGCGATATTGAGATTTATCTTCTCTCATCAAATGTGGGTTTGCTACGTGCCACTCGTGTAAGTTATGCAGGTTCATGTACCCATCTTTCTTAAATGTGGTCTCATCTGACCATAAAATTTTTTCAAAGAACCGTGGATCTTCCCTGTGTCTTTCTAACATTGTGCGACAAAAAGCAACTCGGGGCTCATAATCCCGGGCAGAAGAGCTTGAAGACGCTGTACGTGGTATGGATGGAGCACGTTTTTTTGCAAGATTCTATGGGCTGTACTTTTGGGCACACCTGTTTTTAGTTCTATTGCACGCACTGAAGTACTCGGATCTTCTTCGACAGCTCCTAGCACCACGTCTTCGTAAGGAAGGAAAGATCTTCCCTCACCGTGTGATTGGTTTGGTAGTTGGCCCTCTGAGAACAGTAAGCGGTGCACATTTGTGAACACTCGATGATCTGGATGACGAGCTGCATTCGGGTACCTCTCACGGTAAAGTCTCGCTGCAGCACTAGCGTTGCATCTGCATTCCCCATAAATGAGGTGCATGTTAGCATATTCTTGTACGGTGTACACGGACATAGCGGCACTGCATAATCACACTATCAAAGAGAGTCTAAGGAAAGCAAATGTTGTTTTGAAGAGCAATTGAACAGTTCAAATCCAAATCACAAGCGATCAACAGTCCGGTTCACGAATCCAAAATTAGTAACAGTACGAAATCAACAAGCACGAACATGTAAAGATGCGTAGTAAACGAAGGAGTACTGATCGGTATCAAAGTGTGCAATAGCAAGTAAGTGATGTGCTTCATCCATACCACATACAGCGTGTTCAACCTCTCCTGCCCCGGGATTATGTGCCCCGAGTTGCTTTTTGTCGCACAATGTTAGAAAGACCCAGGAAAGATTCACAGTTCTTTGAAAAAATTTTATGGTCGGATGAGACCACATTTAAGAAAGATGGGTACATGAACCTGCATAACTTACACGAGTGGCACGTAGCAAACCCACATTTGACGAGAGAAGATAAATCTCAATATCGCTTCAAGATAAACCATTGGACAGGAATTTTAAGTGGTAAGATTATCGGTTCGTTTGAGTTCCCAGAGACTTTGACTGCTGAAGTTTATTTGGATTTTTTGAAAAATCATGTACAAAATTTATTGGTGGACGTGCCACTGAGTACTTACAGGGACATGTGGTTTCAGCATGATGGCTGCCCAGCGCACTGTGCACTCTCAGTGAGAGAGTATCTCGATCAAAACTTTCCAGGCAGATGGATAAGGCGGTCTGGTACAATACCGTGGCCAATCCGATCACCTGATTTGAATCGTTTAGATTTTTTTACTGGGGAAGTGTAAAAGAAAAAGTGTATTTCAAGCCGATTCAAAATGTAGCTGAGCTACGGCAAAGACTATTGGAAGCAGCTGAGTTTGTTAATAACCATGGTTTCGCTCGTTTGATAAACCGATCTTTTTTAAGAAGATGTCGAGCGTGTATTGCGGCTGAAGGAAAACAGTTTGAGCATTTGCTGTAAAGGTAAATCATCATCAGCAGCATTTTGACGCCCACTGTTGTGCAAACAGTTATCCTTAAGGGTCCTTGTGCGTTTTCATAATCGCTGTTTAATTAGGAAATTTTGAAAAATTTTCATCAGTTTTTCTTCAAATAAAAATTGTGCATAAGTTAACGAGTAATTTTCTAAGTGTTATACCATTTTGGAATCGCTATGAAATGCACCAACTTTTAAGGTTACTTGCCAAACTCTCGTAGTACATTTTTTTCCAGTACTGCCAGTTAAAGTTGAGCAAAGTTTTACTTTGGAATACTTGGTTGGGAAATAAGTGGCAATTTTTCCTGAACGAGAAAAGTTGGCAGTAAGGTTGAGACACCAGTTTGAAGATGCAATATTCATCATTACATTGTAAAAATAAAATCCAAAAAAGTTAATATTTGTAGTAACAGGAGTTGACAGACTGCCGAAGGGTGTGAAATTTCTATATCATTTTCAAAGACCTATAATTTTCAAAACACATACATAAAATTTTTTTAAATATTTTTCTGATAGCTGTTATGACTTTGCCTATCACCCGGTTTCGGCTTGACGTCGACTTCTGGGACACCCTGTATATAAGTTAATAATCGATGCACAACTGTCACTGTAAATATCACAAGATTCAGTAACACTGTTCATGACGCAGCCCATGAGATTAATTGGCGATTTTATCATAACATTTGTACGGCCAGCTTGACAATAGAATGCCGTTTGTTGTCGACTCCCTAGCCTTGGAACGCGGAAACATATTTTTTCAAGTAAATGTTGACAGTTAATTTTATTGTGAATGAGGCCATACAAAAACGACAAAGCAAATATGTTTCGTCTCGTTAACAGTGAATCCAAATTGAAAAACTCTAATATGGCACTATGGTCACAACCTCTTTCTGGATAAGAACCTGTGCATTTAGGGTGAAAATACTTTAAAGCTTTACGTTGAATAGCCTCAAGGATCACGACAGAATTTTGGTATATAGGAGACCAGATCAGAGTCGCATACTCCAACTTGCTCCTGACAAAGGTAAAAAATAAAGTCATTAATGTATCAACATTGGAGGAAATCTTCCGGTTTCTGATACAGGAACCAAGTGGTCGAGTGGCAGCCGACGAGATATTGAGTATATGCTCAATAAACGTTAGCTTGGTATCAAAAGTGACTCCAAGGTCTCTATAAGAGGTGCATCTGTCTATATAGTATACTGCTATGAAAACGAGCGTGGACACAGGACAGCGAGCGACGGGTTCTGGGCGTCTCAGAGGGACCACAGAGCTACCGCCGGTTAAGACTTCTGTCTCTGGCAGACAGAATCAGTAGTGCTCGAACCATCGCTAAGCAGTGGTTTGAAGAGCATGGAAGGATGGTTGGTATGCGTACAGTGTATCGCCGAATACGACAGTTTGGCCTTTTTTTCTTATCGCCCACATTGGGTGCTACCTCTCACAGCTGAATATCGGCGTAACCGTTTACTCTGGTGTAGAGAAAAAAATCTATGGGACCTGGAATGGAATTAGGTGGTCTTTAGTGACGAATCCCGCTTGTGTCTGGGGATGCACGATGGTCTGCCAAGAGTGAGAAGGCAACAGGGTGAAAGAAGTGACCCACAATTTGACAGAGAGCGTCACGTTCACCGCACCGTGGGAGCTATGCTATGGGGTGCTATTGCTTATGCTAGCACATCACCACTAATCATCAGATGCAATATGACAGCCCGACGCTATATTCAGGAAGTAGTGGAGCCTCATCTTATTCTATACCTAAACACCATTCAGAACCTGATTTTTCAGCAAGACAATACCAGACCGCATGTTGCCACAGCATCGCTAACGTTCGTGGATCAACATCGCATCAACCGTTTATTCCCGGCGCATATTGAACCCATGCCACGCGTAGCACACGCACAGCCCACGCGTGGGTGATTTTGTAAAACACTGTTGTAGACGAACTGATGCATATTGCACCCATCCCACGCCTAGCACAGTCCCAGCCTATTCCCACGTGGTTTGATTTGTGCGAGCAACACAGTTTCGTGGAGAAATTAATCGAACTCGTTCGGGAGAATCCTGTGTTGTATGATACTTCACATGAGGATTATATGAGAACAAAATTAAAAAATGAGTTGTGGGAGAAGATAGCCAGAGATTTAAATTACACAAGTGGTGAGTAATTTTGAAATATGTATATTTTGGGTTATAAGAACGAACACGTGAGTATGCACTTCCTCGAGTACTCATCGTAAGTACATATTTATTTTTTTTTAATAATAATAATAATTAATAATACTTTTCATTTTTGTATGTATATATCCTAAAATTGTCCTCTTTCTATCGCTCTTCGTTGCCATTCAACAGATCCATCTGCAGAATTGAAACACTCAGTAAACTTCTGCCTAATATTAAATGCTTCAGTAGAATTGCGAGTTCGGTTTAGTGCTAAAGGAATGAAATGGTTTTCATGAGAATTAGTCAACACTTCATCATTTGCTTCCTGGCCAGTGGCAATCGAGAGAATCTTAGTTCTCAAATAATTATGAAGCACAATTGTGGCTAGCACTATTTTATCGATGGTGTCCAATTTACATTCAAATGGTCTCTTGTACACCCGGAATCTAGCTGCTAATATACCGAAGGCACTTTCTACTGTTTGTCTAGCCCGAGATAGTCTATAATTAAAAACCTTGATTTGATAACTACCAGCAACTTTCGCGTTAGGATATGGACGCATTAAATTTCTCATTAGCGGGAACGCTTCGTCTCCAACAAATACATATGGAGTTGGTGTATTTTGTCCAGGTAAAGGCTTTGGTTCTGGCAAATCCAGTGTAACATTTTCCCTAAAGGAGAATTGGTAAAAATATTTCCGTCACTAAACCGACCCATAGAACCCACATTCACAGAAGTAAAACGATAATTTTCATCGACAGTCGCCATTAAAACAACAGAAAAATATTGTTTGTAGTTGAAGAAAGAAGAGCCACTCAGAAGTGGTTTTCGAATGGCGACATGCTTCCCATCGACAGCTCCTAAACAGTTATAAAACTGCCATTTTCTTTCATACTCTAATGCAATGTGCTTCCAAATTTCCACCGTTGGTTCGGGCATATAAATGGGCTGTAAACGTCGCCATATCGCTTCACAGACTTGACAAACAATAATCGATACGGTTCTCTGTCCCTTTCTATAGCTCAGTCCTATAGTTTTATACATGTCACCAGTTGCCAAATACCTGAAAAAAATCTACTTTAAGGCTGAAAAACGAAGAAAGATCAGATGCCATTTTTATTGTTTATCAATTTATTGTTTATTCTGTTACAGGCAAGGATGCTAAAGAACAATGGCGGAAGCTAAGAGAGTGTCATCGTGAAGCTATCCGAAGGCAACAAAAGAAAAGTGGAGAACAAACAACCACTACGAAACCATGGACCTATCAAAAACAAATGGAGTTTTTAAAACCATACATGAAAAACAGACTCACTGCTGGATGTCCCAGCACCTCAGCTCCTGATGACAGCCAGGTAGAAGAAGAAGATGTACTCTCTGCTGATCCACCAAGTGTTCAATCAAATTTTGAAACAGATCAATCCATGGATACACCCACTTCAAAAAAAGCGAAAAAATCTGGTGATCCTCTATTGAGAAAATACATCGAAGATGGTGAGAAAAGAGCTAAGAGTCGGGAAGAGTTACGTCAAAAACTAATAGCTCAATCTCAGCAAGAAGCAGTGTTACAAAATGATGCTCTACATCTTTTTTTTATGTCAATGTAACAAAAAATCTTCCTACCAAATTTCAAAGGCAAGTCAGAAGAAAAGTTTTTGATGTCGTCTCACAAGCAGAAGATGATGCTGAGCAAGAGATAGAGAATCAGAGAATTCATTCATCAACCTCCAGTACTAGTGAACTATCTGTGGTGACACAACAATACCCTGAATTCTTTACTCTACATCAGAATCCATCATTGATTCATCCTGTAGAAGCAAATGAAGAGGATCTAGAAATAAACATTGGGAAAGAAGAAGATAATTTACCAAGAGCATTCCTTACTTTGTAAATGCATAATTTATATCTTGATAACATAAAATATTTTCTGAATAAAATTACCTTAGACATACGGCTACTTTTTCTTCACTTCCAATAGGTTTTTGTGCATTGCACTCTTTACCCGTAATATCGTTCTTTATCAATTCATGGATTTCGTTGAACTGTGTTCTGTTCACTCTAAATGTCTCTTTGAATATGCTGTCTGGAACTTCTCTAGATAAGTTGAACTCTCCATGACTTTGTCTTTTTCGCAGATACGCATTTTTCTCGCTTTTTGTTCTTCTTCGATTAAATAGATACATTAAAATAGATCTTTCCTCGTCTTCCGACTCAGACTCTAGATCGAGGAGCTGACAAATATTCGCTGCCATCGTGGAAGTGGACTGGACATGGGATGGGTTCAATATGCGCTTCCGAACGCGAAACATGGGCTAGGCTGGGTCTGTACGTAACGTGGGCTGTGCGTGTGCTACGCGTGGCATGGGTTCAACATGCGCCGGGCCTTACTTTGGCCATCACGATCGCCTGACCTATCTCCAATTAAACATGTCTGAGACAGGTCGCAAGCTCTTGAATTCCCAACACCCTCCACACGCAGCTCTTACGAAGTTGCAGTGGCCTGAAATAAGATAACCTAACGAGATATCCAGCTTCTGCAGTCATTTGACGAATAAAGCTGAAAATTTTCATCATTTTACTAGTGAGGGACATTGAACTTATATCCCTGAATTATCAAAATCGGATAGACATTCGTAGGTGTTTACCTTTTTTTGTCGCTCAATATACTTACGGTGTCAAATCTCTTGTATTTTCGTATTTATTTTCATTCGTTTATGGGTAGCTTTGTTTCTAGGACATCCGCAATATATCTTTCCCTTTTTTTAGTTTGTTTTCGTTTACTGTTATAGTGCTGAACCGCGTAATGGTAAGGTTTTTAATAAATTGCTTTCGTGGTTTTCTGTTTGTTCACATACTAATGCCCAAGTCCTTGCGTAATAATATACTTCTTGCCATTAGAAGTATTGCACTTAGAAAACATAATTTCTTCAACTTGATTTTTAGGCATTGAGGCAGTCTTACTCAAGGATGGAACGATAACAATCTCACTTAATTTTATTGACAAGTAATAAAAAAAAAATTAATAATGTGTTGGGCGACCCCGCAGCTGAATACACTCCTGAATACATCTAGGCATCGATAAAATGAGATGATCGATGTCTGGTTGTGGCACCGCATTCCAAGCAACTCGAACTTCGTGGATTAGATGTGGCAGAGTCCGTGGGGGATGGCGCAAAGTGGATAGTCTCCTCCACATCACATCCCACACATGTTCGATGGGATTTAAATCTGGTGACGGCCACGGCAAAATATTAAGTCCTGCTTCTTGAAGAAATTCAGTAGTATGATAAGCAATATGGGGACGTGCTTTGTTTTGCCGAAAAAGGACGTGTGGGCGGCCCTCTCTATACGGCAGTAAAGTAGTTTGTAGAACATTACCAACATAACGCGAAGCAGTCATGTTGCCTTGAACAAAGAGAAAGGGTGATCGGCTACCATAGGCAATAGCCCCCCAAAATATTACTCTAACAGTTCTGTGTACATGCCTTTCAACAGCAAATCCAATGCAACGCCGTTCTTCATAGCGGCATCTTACCGTTCTACAGCCATGGTGCGTATTTAGACAGAATCGCGATTCGTCGCTGAAGATGACATTATGCCATTCTGCCTCACAATGTTGCCGTTGTCTGCTCCAGATCAAACGTTGACGACAGTGGTCCGCAGTCAGAGGAAGCACTATCCGTGGACGGTATGAAACAAGTCCAAAGACTCGAATGCGGCGATAGAGTGTATGTAAGTTATATCCATCATCACCCTGTATTTTATACAGGGTGTTTCAGTTTATTGTTGCATAACTTTAAGATTCGATAGAACTTTTAAAATTAATGCATAAAGTCTATATAAACATGGGTCGAAAAATGCGTGGCTTCCGAAATACAGTGTGTTTAAATTTACTTTCTAAAATAGTTTTTTTTAAATATTTCGAACAATGTTTGATGTATAACAGTGAAAATTGGTATACAAGGGTTTTTTGGTACCACAAAACGAACCATAGTTTTACTGTAGCCGCTAGAGGGCGCTCTCTACTGTACCTGTAGTGTATTAAAATGACCGAAAAAAATTTATTAGTGCAATTTTTTGCTTTTTGGATAAAAAACTGATTCTTCACACTTTTCAACATAAAAAAGCTCTCTTGTGAATTTTCGTTATAGTTAGCCGTTTTTGAGATATTTCGTTTTTTAATGTTCGATGCATTTTTAATTATTCATGATAAAATAACGTTAAAAAGTCAGTATCTCGATAATTTTTAGAAGTAGGCTGTGCCTGCAAATATTTTTGAAATTGAAAGCAGAATAAGGTTAAACGTCAATTAGTTGACAGTTAGTTTTGTTGTCTGTTGAAACCTAAAACGTTTTTTTGCAATTGTGAATGCACGAAATTTAGTTTCTTTTACCTGTTTTTTTTTGTAAGTTTTATAAAAATGCCATTGAGAATCAAGAGTTAGCGGATATTTATTATGTGTATGGCTTTGTAAATGGAAACGCAGCAGTAGCAGCCAGAGAATACGCACAAAGATTTGCAAACAGACGACATCCAACTCGCTCAGTATTTGTAAGAGTGCATCGCCAAACAATTGAGAATTTCAGCAAGCCATGTTCACCGTGTTCTTAAAAATGACCATAGACGTCCTTACCATTTGCAACCTGTGAAGGACTACAGCCAGGGGACGGAGAACGAAGAATCACATTTTGTCAGTGGATTCTTGATAGAACTGATAATAATAGGGAGTTTTTAAGTAACGTTTTATGGACCGATGAGTCATGCTTCACTAGACGTGGGGTGGTAAATTTTCATAATCAACATATTTGGTCACATGAAAATCCGTATGCAGTTCGGGAAAGAAATTTTCAGCATGAATTTAGTGTGAACGTGTGGATTGGTATCTACCGTAAACGACTATTTGGACCCTACCTTTTGCCTGCAAGGTTAAATGCTGCGACCTTCTTGGAATTTTTAAAGGCTGAACATGCAAATATGTGGGATGATGTTATGTTAGATTTAAGATGATTGACCTGGTTCCAGCTTGATGGTTGTCCAGCTCATTATTCGAGAATGGTTAGAAACTGGCTGGACGAAAATTATCCAGAAAGATGGATCGGCCGTGGAGGATGAGTCGCCTGGCCTCCACGATCCCCTGACCTAAATCCATTAGATTTCTTTGTGTGGGGATTTCTAAAAGAAAAAGTGTACCAGACTCCCGTAACCACAAGAGATATGCTAATAGACAGAATCAGGAATGCATGTGATGAAATAAGGCCTGATTTGAATAATGCTATACCACGTTCGATCATTCGTAGATGTGAATTGTGTATTGAACAATTGGGTTTACATTTCAAGCAACTACTTTAGATTTTGTATGTTTGTCCTAACTATCCAATAGCATTTTAGTTATAAATTAATTTAATTTGTTAAAAATAATATTGGAAAATTAAACAAATTAATATTCTGTTTTTTGTGTTTATTTGGAGTTAGGAATTATTGCTGTGTTTAAAAACACAATCTAAACGATCATCTTAATTACTTGTAATGCCCAAATCGGAAATGTAAAAAAAAATATTATTTTCCCATAAATAATTAAAAATGCATCGAACCCTAAAAATCGAAATATCTCAAAAACGGCTAACTATAACGAAAATTCACAAGAGAGCTTTTTTATGTTGAAAAGTGCGATGAATCAGTTTTTTTATTCAAAAAGCAAAAAATTGCACTAAGAAAAATTTGTCGGTCATTTTAATACACTACAGGTGCAGTAGAGAGCGCCCTCTAGCGGCTACAGTAAAACTATGCCCATGGTTCGTTTTGTCGTACCAAAAAACCCTTATATACCAATTTTCACTGTTATACATCGAATATTGTTCGAAATATTTAAAAAAAAACTATTTTAGAAAGTAAATTTAAACCCTGTATTTCGGAAGCCACGCATTTTTCGACCCATGTTTATATAGACTTTATGCATTGATTTTAAAAGTTCTATCGAATCTTGAAGTTATGCAACAATAAACTGAAACACCCTGTATAATATTATAATTATTACCTGGTACTTGTATTTCTTGCTAGCATTGTCGCTACGCTATGGAATCTTATCTCGCGCCTTGAAGTTCACATGTTAACATCCTCTGTATCAGCATATTATATTTCTGCTGCATTGTACTAAATCCATGTGTCAGGAAATCTTGTCACTTCTTGTCTAACCGTCCTGTTTTACGCATCGTCGTGACAAGGTTTCACAAAAGTCCTTTTGTACCGTTAATCGAAATAAAGTTTTTTTTAAAAACAAGTATTTCGGTAACAGTAATTTAACTTGCATAGTAACAAGTCTACCTTCTTCTCCAAACCATTGGTCAGCGATCTGACGCGTAATAGCACAACGGTCTCATAGGGCTAGTTGTCTGAAGCGCCTATCTTGACGCTCTGTGGACCAGTTGACCTTCTTCGTATTCCGCTACCTTCTTCTATCTACACACGACATACACACATTACCGCCATTGTAGTACAATTAACACGGCGGCCAATTTCGCGTTAGGACAAACCAACATCTCGATAGGCAATAATTCTACCGCTGTCAAAGTCGCTAACGTGGTGATAATTTGCACGTCTTCGAACTCGAGGCATTTTGTTATGCGCAACACTAGTAAATCAAAGGGCAATAACTGGAAATATCTGTAATACTCAGCCCCCAGACACTGCT